TATAATAAAAAATAACCTATTCATATCAAGATATTTAATTAAATACTGAATAAAAAAGGACATTAGACAATTAAGTTTGATACATAGGCAACCAAGATAATTATAAGAGATAATTTATTCTAATTTTTACTATGCAAGTTTGGAAATATCTTTCAATTCAATAAAATTACAAAATTAAAAATCTATGTAGTATTCAGTACTCAATACTCAGTAAACATATAAATAAGAGCAAAATGTTTTTTAAGTAAGTAGCTGTAATTTTAATYAAATTATTTATTAATATTATGTGGTATTATAATTATGTTCAGTACTAGGGACTTGGGTTGCTTGCTCACACGGAAGATCRTTTTCATATTTCATAGAATCATTGGAAGACAATTGTACATTCTGGGCTCAAAAAATAAAAGTATTTTCTGCTCTTACAAAGTAAATTATTAATTACTCTGTTTTTAACACACATACAACCTAATTCCTTTTAAAATTTACATAATTTGTTGCGTATTTCATTCACAGTGCTGTAACTGTCGGCCAACTTCAGCCTCTTCTGATGAATATTGACAAATGTAAATTTAATGAATGCGTACCATTAGGTTTAAATACTGATCAATATCCAGGAAGAGGTGTTTTTATTGCAGGAACTGCATTTTTTGAACCATATTGTAGTGAGTATAATTTTTTTTCCATGCACATTAATTCCGTTGATTAAATTAATCGTTTTTTGAATGACAAGATTCTCGTAGAAWTTATTATCTTTAGTTTAGATTCATAAACTTTAAAAAAAATAATAAGGTTATTGACACAAAATATTTTTGTGAATTAGYGGGTTAAAATTATTTTTAAACACAAAAAATAYACAATYTATTAATTTTTTTCTATGTTTTTGATTATTAATTTWTAGAGAGCAATTTGGAAACAGATCGGATTATGCGGATGGCATTTAAAACGATGAAATGAAAAATGGAATACATCATATAACATAGGCAGGTAAATAAGTCAAATTTCAAACGAATTAATAATTATACTATACTCAACAAAAATTGTTATAATTTTACATCAAAATAATATAAGTTCC